CCCCAAAACCCCAAAACCCCAAAACCCCTTCTTCTAGATATTGATTGAAAATAGTTATAATTATTATAATGAGCAATAAAAATGGTGAAGTGCCTCATGAAGAGGCAGGAGCTAAACAACCCCAAAATGCTAATTCTGAAGAAAAGGAAGAGTTCAATAAAAATTTTGACTCTCCTTATAGTATTTATATGTCCCAGCCAAGCAGGAATATAGGTGCATATGGTTCAGGAGAGAGTCATTATGGAAACCAAAATTACGGATTTCAGCCACACAATAATACCTATGTGCAGCAGGTACCTCAATATCAGCAAAATTATAGTCAGAATCAATATAATTATCAAAGTAAGTATGATTTTGCTTGATTACTATCAATATCTTACTGGATATTTTAGATTATCAACATTCTCCTCAACATGTTTCTCAGATTGCTCCTCAGCAAAATGTGAATAATGTCCAGTCTCAAGGAATTATTAATCAGCAGGTTAAAGATAACGAAGGTGCTCAGAGACCTATCCAAAATACTCAACAATTTTATAACCCAAACCAAGCGTAACTCTCTTTCACAATTTTGATCATAATTCATCTTCCAGACAAGCAATTCCACATCTGCAAAATTTCACAAGCACAATAAGACCTCCTCCACCCATTGCACTCAACTCCCCTTACCTACAAGTCTCTCAACCCCAAAACTCCGAAAAAGGAACAACCAAAGAACGTGTTCGCATTATAAACGCCCTTCTCAAGTCCAATAGCTCTATACTCTCCCACCAGGAGCAGAGCAATCTCTACAGATGGAACACCATTAATCATATGTCCATCTTCTGCATGTTCGGACTTATCGTAGTCCCCTTTGTAATATACTCCAGGAAGAATTTGACTATGGCTCAGAAGGTTAAGCATCTTCAGTACGCCTGAGGTGTTCAGGTCACTATTGCCTCTATCTCCTTATACTCTATTTATAAAGTGAAAAATCTCTTTGATCAGTATGATGAGAGGTATTTCTCACAATATTCACTCGAACAATTGAAGTCTTTCAACTCTCAGTTTTCAGGAGAAATGGGTCCTCCAATACAGGGTGGAGTAGGCCGAGCAATGGCAGGAATGAACAGGCAACCTATGGGAGGCAATCAACACTATTATTACCAAAGTCAACCAATGTATCAAGTCGCTCCTCATCAAACGATCCAGAACCCACAAAATATTTCTGAGAGTGAGCCAAAATCTCAGTAGATATTTCAACTAGAATCTTGAAAATTGGGGTTTTGGGGTTTTGGGGTTTTGGGGTTTTGGGG